TAATTGTCACAATAGTCCAGTCGAGTTAGACCAAAAAAAACCTAAACTTGCATGGCGAGCTGTCTCAAATTTTATATTTCTAACCTTTAGGGGTGTCAACAGTATTGTAAATTCAACGTCACGACTCAATCCAACCATTGCATTAGCCGCCATCTTGAATTGAGAACATTTATTTTTCCTCAATGTTTCCGCTATTTTATTTTATTCGACAAAAATTGCAAGGAATAAAAATGTTGCACATGCGATTTCCTACAATTTTTTTGGTGTAGTCTTTTAAAGAAATTTTTCGTACAATCGATTTTTTCCGAGATAATGCGAAAAATAGTGGAAGGGGGGATGGAAGCATAATTTTCGAAATATCTCGTTTAGTATTAAATTTACGACATGAATGTACACAAACAAAAATGGATAAAGTGTTATTTTGTACAAATTTAATTTCCTTTACATTTTTGTTAAAATCAATATATAAGGCTGATTTATAAACTTTACGTTGGCGTTGGCGCTGGCGCTGACGTTCGCGTTACAACATGGTCAAATGGAAAACTCGTATGTCCATTTATAAACATCGTTCGCCGTTGGCGTCGGCGTTCGGTTCCGTTCAAGATGAACCAACTTTATCTTTTGTCGTTGGCCGTTGTAGCACAGAATACACAAACCCTTCTGTGGTTGTAGTATCGATCTCGGAACATAAAATAAAACTGTATCTTTGTCATCACAGCCAATAGCAATATCGAAAAAGTGACAAAGTTTGTCAAACAAATCAAACAAAATTATTTGTTTATGTTTCCACGTGTTTATAAAGTGGAAAAGTTTAGATAATAACAAGCCTTTCTTCAACAGAAATTCCATCAGAGCGACAGTTTACATTTATTTTTGGCTTTAGCATTTGTAGTAATTTTTCAAATACTGGAAACTGTATCCTGGTAAATTTAAAAAACTGTTGGGTATCCCAGTTTTTCATATTTTTATAATAATTAAAATTACCTCTTGTCTTTCTGTTCTGGTTAATGGGCCTCAGTTTGTATCGACGTTGTCTTTTATTTCGAAGGCTCAATGCTGCTCGAATACAAAGTATCAGTGCCACTGCACCTAATAAAGGCCTAGCATTTTCCATTGTATTAATTTTCAAGCAAAAATTAATAATACCAAATCAAAAATATAAAATCAGTTTTACATTATGTTATTTTCGTGCTAGGCAAGAGCTATGCAAAACAGATCATGGAACTGCGCATGCCCACGGGTTATTTCCATACAATTCCTGTGCTAGACGAAAAATTAGAACATGTTCTATTTTTCATGCTATTTTCTTGCAATTTATCGTTAAAATTCATGTTGCCAACATAACAATTTATAATAGATTACAGAATAAAACATAACCTTATCTCTATCAAGAAGCTTAAGGAAAGTGGACTCGTTCATTCGAAGAAAGTTTTTAAAACTTTGAAGGTCTCTAGCATCCTAGAACTCTTGGGGTAACTTCAAATTTCCCAGTCCTGCATTCAACCAAGGTTTAACCCAGCATTTTCTAGGTTTTCTTTTTTTATTATTTTTCATGATTGTTGCTACAACAGCAATATTCAACAATAACAATGTTTTCTTTTCTTTGGTTGACATCCTTCACCCTTTTTATAACCATAAGTAGTGTATATTTATTTATTATATTATTTATTTTAGTACTTAATTATATTTATTTAAAATAAAATAACCTCAAATTGATAAATATTTTCTCTGTTGGTAACAATGAAAGTGGGATCTAAAACTGCACAAAAATATCTCTGATGTAAAAAGGTCAAGCTAGGCAAGAGATGTGCCATGCATGACGGACTTGCATAGCATGAGACTTACATAGCCTACATGTAAAGCTGCCGTGTAAGTAGGCAAGAAATTAAGATGTAATCTTTAACGCCAACGCCAACCGAAAGTTTATAAATGATAGCTAGCGCCAAGGTCAACGGCGAACGCCAGCGCCAGCGCCAGCGCCAACGCCAGCGCCAACGCCCACGCAAAGTTTATAAATCAACCTTTAAGGTCCTAAGTCTAACGAACTCTACACGGTGACGCCATTAGCAGTAAGCCATAAATAGGAACAAACCTACGACTTTAAATACTGATTTTAGCAGAAAATGAAAGAGACCAAAATTGTATAAGATATAATTCTCTTCATTTTTGTTTTTGTTATTTATGTCGTAAAGTTAACATAAAACGAGACAACTCGATAATATGCAGTTCCTACCATTGATCTATTGACAGCAAAATGGTTCCCCTTTCAAGTCAACATGGCTGCTTACGCAACCGCGGAATTTTAGTTGTTGTTTTAAATTTACACTAATATTGACTCCCATCTTTAACCTTCATCGCAATGGCCGGGGTTTATTTTGACCTCAGATCACAATTTTTAGCTGTTACTTTACAGATTTTAATTTTTTATCGGCAGTCTTCCATCTATATGGAGTTTATATATTGTATTGATTAAAAATTATGCCTACAAGAACATTTAACTGTTAGATTAAATTTAAACTTCAGTTTTATAGACTGGGGTCTTCTAATAACCCTGCCAGCCTTTTGTGTCATATAAATTGAATTCTAATAAAATTGTAATAATGTGGGAATCCCATAGATTTTACGGATTTGTACCAACTATGAGTGTACTATAATTTTATGTAAGGGTTTTTCATGTTTAAATGGGAAATTGCCCGATCTGCAATAAAATTTAACGAAATAATGTAAATATATTGAGTTCCAGTTGCAGTTTAGTTGGTTTCTTGTCGTATTTATGAATAGTGCAATTCTAAACATGAGTTAAGTTTCATTTATATCTAGCCGAAAGCATCTGAGTGAAGATGAACTTTTACATTTACTTGAAAGTAATGCTTCAGAACTTGATATCACTGACAATAGAGCAAGTAATTTAGATAAAGATAATGTAACAGAGGTAGAAGAAGAAAATGACCTTATTATTGATCAAAGAATGAAGCAAAATGAACCAACAGTTAGTGACTCCGAAGGCTTATCGGTATATGTATCTAAAGATGGAACTGGGTGGTCAAGGTTGCCAAAAAACAAAAACGAAACGCGCAAAGGTCATAATTCGTAGACAGGTTCTAGGACTTACAGATTACAGTGACGATATATCAAGTACCAAAAACGCTTTCCTGCGTTTTTTCTCTTGTCTTCAGACGAAATTCTAAACATAATTGTCATGGAAACTCATTGAAAGGCTCAAGCGTATTACAATAAATGGAATAGTGAAAAGCCAAATAGAACTAAAGTATATGTTTTCGTTGATTCTGTAAAGATTTAAGCTTATATTGAAGTATTGCTTATGCTTAGAGCTTTCCATGGATCGAAAGAGGCGATCGATATGCTTTGGTGTGACGATGTTACTTACTGCCGTCCCATAATGCCAGCTGCTATATATACAGATAGGTTCAAACAAATACCTTTATACGTTTATTATTTATACGTTTTAACAATTTTGAAATTAGACAAAAACGAAAATCAGCTGATAAACTGGCCCCAATGAAAGATGTATCTGATGTTTTTATTTTTAATTGTGAGGTATCACTTAATCCAGGTGACGATTTGTGGATAGATGAACAGCTCATGCCCATTTCAAGCATATATAAAGAGAAAACCTAACAAATACTGAATAAAAATATAGGTCCTTGTGGACTGCACTACTTCTTTTATTGTAAACATGTAAATTTGTTTAAAAAAGTTTTTGAATTGCCAATAAGGAAAAAATCAAATTTTTAAATATATTAATTTTAAGGAAAACAAGGTTCTAAGACGGAAAAACCTCAAGGCCAAAGAGTTGCCCTAGACTTGATAAACCATTTGGAACGAGGGTTTTTAATAACAGTGTTTTGGAATGTTTTTACAAGGTTAAACCTTGCGGATAAGTAATGGGAGAAGAATATAACTCTATGTGGAACTCTTCGAAAAACACAACGTTTATTCCAAAAGAGCTTCTAGTAGCATCATATAAAACAGATTATTCAAGTATGTTAGTTTTTAGAAAATATTAAACTAATCTCTTATGTTCCAAAAACAAAGACCTGCAGTCATCTTACTTTCAACTTTGATGGTATACAAGGCAAATATCGAACACAGTAATTAATTAAATCTTGCCCAAGTACTTTCAATCAATAGATCATCCTTAGGGGCATTTCGTCAGTTGTGGCCTATCTGACATGAGCAGAATGTCATACATGTAAATTTGGACATAACAATACAATACACAAAGACAAACAAACACTTTAAAATTTTTAAAAATGGAGAAGCTACATGTTATATAGAAGCCTGAGACAGAATGATTCTGTAGTTAGTACTACAGAAGGAACCTTTTAGAATATGCTACGCCTGTGACTCCAATATAACTGTAGGCCACATTGAAATTGTATAATCAAATAAGTGATACATAATTCTATAATCAATAAAAAAAATTATCAATACTATAAAAATAATGTGTTACTGGTACAGTTTTTTTTTTTCGTATAAGCATACCCATAAGTTTACCCATTTTTGAATGGGTCCGTTCAGACCCCGACCCGTCTTTCGTGTAATATTCTGAGGCCAGTCCGGTGAAGGTTAAAGGTTAGAATTATAAAATTTGTGACAACTGGCCATGAGGTGAAATGCTATTCCGACTGGACTACAAATATTTTAAACAGTATGAAATAAGTCTAGACGTACCTAAAACATTAAAATACGTCATGCTGAAATAAGGATTTAAGAAATAAAATACCGAGGCATAGAAATAAATTATGTCGAAATAAAAAATTACGATTTCTATCGATAACTCGATATCAAAAGCCAAATGGTATTACTATAATATAGTCAATGCAAATACTAGTAGGAAAATTTTTAAATACATTTGGTTGTTACAATAAAAATAATATAAAACAATGAGCCTTTGCAAACTTAAACTATTTATGTACAAAATTCATCACATTACTGGCCTAGATCCGAATCGGCCGTGTAGAAAATTTGAGTTCCTTTTAAATTCCGACTACCGTACCGTTCGGTAAACTTTGTTGTGAATCCTTTTTGATCTCATCTATAGTTGACACTGACATCTTTCTTTCTGTTAAATCTAAAGGGAATTTGAAACTTATCTCTCCCTTACAAAAAACCGCAGTGGCATTTTCGATATTATTTTCTGCCCGTTCGGTTCGTTTTCGTTGCCTTTCTAGATTTTCCGAATGTCGTTTCATACACGAACACACAACAAAAATAATAGAAAATATCGCGAAAACTATAATACACAATAAGCCGACCAGTAAGCTGAGTTTATCGGTAGGTATTTTGTCACTGGAACCATTAGTCACTTCACAAGTAGTTATGTCTTCAAAGCGCAGATTCACTATTTCTTTATTTACAAGTCTAGATGGCGAGGCACATACCGAGTTTTTGAACATCGAGGTCTTGTTGATGCGAAATAAAATGGAGGTTATATGACACAAATCGCAAGACCAAGGATTTCCTGTAAAATTTACATATTTCAGCGTTTCCAACTTTACAACCACGCTGTCATTTAGGCCTTTAATTTTATTAAAAGAAATATCTAGTTCTTGTAATTGCTTAGGAAAAGTATGTACGTTTAGGTTTGTAATATTGTTCCACGATATATTGAGTTTCTTTATTCGATCTGGTAGGAACTTTTCTGGTAATACTGATAGTTTCATATGTGCTATTTCGAGGTGCCACACTCTGTACAACGTTTGCAAGAATAACTTTATTAAAGACAACGTGAAGTTATTCCCGCTAATCACTAGCCTTTGTAAGGTGTCTGCAATATGAGTCAACGCGAACGGTTCTAATTTACTCAACTTATTGTAACTAATGTCCAACTCTATCAAGTTAGTAAGGTTCAAAAAGGCAGTATCTGTTATCTTAGCTAACCGGTTTTTCGCTAAACACAAATATTTTAGTTGTTGTTGGTGGATGAATGTCTTTTCCAGAATGACCGGCAAAAGGTTGCCATCCAGTTTAAGGATGTGGAGTCTACGAAGGTCGTGGAACTCGTCTTCTGATAAAAATTGAATTTGGTTGTATCCCAAATCGAGGTGGGATAGGTAAGGCAGCAAATGGTATAGTTGTGCGTTTATTCTCTGTAGTCCGCATCCTCTAAGTTCAAGGACTCGTAGATCCTGCAACAAAATAAAAAATGATAAGCAAGAGACTTTTATAAATACATTGCTAAATATTTTTTTTATTTATAAAATAACCGAATTAACCACGAAGGTCATTAGTGGTGTAAAGAAAATACAATAGGTGTGCAGTGTATGAATTTAGGCACAGCCACCTTTACTTCCAAGCCATGAAGTAAAAAAGGCAACACCGCATTCTATGACTTCGGTAGTCCGATGATCAGCTGTAAGGTCTACCAGAATATTAAACTAATTTAAATTTTAGAAAACTGATATTTTGAAAACTTCAATTCATTACAGAAATATTTTTAGGGAAATTAAATTAATAAAACCTTATATATACCTAGTAAATATATATAAAGTTTTATTATTATTTAGGTTATATTATCAATAAAATAATCAGTAGAGTAAAAGTACTTAAGTAAGCATATAAATAATACAATACATTAACACAACATTTAAAAAGATTATTAAAAATACAAAAGATATAAAATTTGTGCTAAGTAAAAACTTAGTGTACCTAACTATTATGATTAAAAAATTCATCCTAAGAAATCAGAGACAATATAAATATGGTTCTAAATTAATCTAATTGAAAATTAAATATTTTACTATTTACTTATAACTTTTGTTGAATTTTCATACTTAGATATACAAAAGTAGCAATTTTAAATATGAATAGGTTTGTTGTCATATAGACCAAGTTAAAAGAGGTATACATGAAAAATGTGTTGAATGTAACATATCATTTATAACTTGTATATCGATTTAAAATAGCCTATATTCTCAAAAGATTTTTGAATGTAATACTCAAATTTGTTATCACTTATCTAAAAAGCAGATCTAAATGAGAAAGTAAGTTCTCTAATTGTGACCATCTTGTTAATTTACTATATTGTAAAATCCATTTCAAATCATTACCACTTAATCTATTCTTACCTACATTTACGATTACACTAAAATTACTGCTAACTATTACACAAATATTATCACACTTGTGTCCCAACTGATTAATGTTTAATACATAGAAATATACACAGTCACTTGTAATTTTACTTGTCCAGTTTTTCAATGGGATATTATTGTCTAAGTCTAATTGACATAATTATGTTATCTCTTGTTCCCTCTTCTTATGCAAAAAGTTTCTTCTGTCTTCGGGATTCCTTCTTTCTTTAGTACAATGAACAGTTACATATGATGGTACTTCAGGAAATATATTAGGAACTGCATTGCCTTTTAATTTGGGAAATATTAACTTTTCAATGTGTACATTTCCATCTTTATCTTCTCATTGTTCAGTCCGCTGAATATCATCTTCATGAAAATGTTTGGCACATACTACGGACGATTTGGTAATTGTACAGCCTTCTCTATGAATAGAGCATAACCCAGTATACCTTCTTTGGGGATCTTTGGGAAACAAAAACGTACTTTCTGCCTGTTTCGTTTTTAAAGTACTGGCATAATTGGTTTTGCAACTAGGTACACAACAATGCCAGAGCATCTGTAACAAAAAACAAAAGTATTATTATTGTTGTTTTTAGTTTACATATTTTGTAACAAGAAGCAAAAGTATTATTATTTTCAGTTTGTTTTGTAGGTTATATTTATACTTGCCTTTTAAATTGTCGTTAAGAATCTTCTAAAAGTTCTAAATTTAATGAAATTTCACTTATATTAATATTTTCTAATTGATTTAAACACATTTTACAAATAAAACATTCGAATAAAGTTAAAAAAACAATAAATTCAACAAACTTTATAAGCCTTCCTATATGAAATGTTAAAACAAACCACAGTCGGACTACCACGCGTTGTTGCCAAATTTTTACTTCATGGCCTGGAAGTAAAGGTGGCTGTGATTTAGGTCATCGAGCAAAAAGACAAAAGAGGAAATGTAAAGGTAGTGGGGGAAAATATTGTTAGACAGGAAGTTCTATCTTGAGAGGCCAAATTAAACAAGGAAAGAGAGTCTTTCGTTGTTTAAGAAATCAAATTTAGTTGGGTTATGTTATTATTTGTCCCAACTGTCATGAAATCTTTTTTATATTGAAGTTTTTTTAATACCTGTTTCACATTTTAGAGTGTTATCGTTAATATTTCATTAAAACTTAACCCCCTCTGTGGCTCAGTGGTAAGAGCGCCTGCCTTTAAATCTAAAGGTCGTGAGTTCGAATCCCACCTGGGTGGAAATTTTCGTTTATTAAAAAAAATTAATAAATGAAAATAATTTCTATCCTTGTGTGATCGGTACACACCGGAGGCACCGCAGACGTTCGGATACAATTAGCGTCTCTTAGCAAAGACAATGACGTCGACTTTGCTAAGTATCAAGACAATTACTCTACACACACACACACACACACACACACACACACACACACACACACACACACACACACACACACACACACACACACACACACACACACACACACACACCACACACACACACACACACACACACACACACACACACACACACACACACACACACACACACACACACACACACCACACACACACACACACACACACACACACACTACACCTCAAATTGTAAGATTGGCGAATGGATTTAGTGTCCGCAGTCATTTAAACACAAACAAACAACAACAATTAAAACTTTCTCGTCTAAGACACATTCTGAAATCCATTTTATAGCTTTTGTTAATAAGTGTCGGAAAATTTAAATTTGGCGCATTCGCATTTCCGGATATGTCCGCCATCATCCGACCATTTTTGGTCTCCTTTTCATAACGATTAGATTACCTCTTTTGTCTTTTTGCTCGATGATTTAGGTATACTCCATTCGCTTAGCAAGGGCATATTTTGACAGATTCATTGTCGGAAACCTACAACACAACAATTTCTACTTCTCAGTATTAATAGCTCAAGTATACTATTATTGCAGACTTCTTTCTTTGAAAAAAGAAGAATTAATTTAAATAGTGGAAGTGTATACTAAACCCATCAAATTTTCCCTGTATATTTAAAATGTAATATTTGAATTGTTATTATTCACGTAAAATATTGGAGTTATTCGGTTTGTTAATTCAATTTAATATAGTTTTATTGTTTAATTATCGTTGTTTAATTCTTTTGTCAGTTCTATTTAGTTAATTAGTTAGTTATATTTTAAATTTTATTATTATACATAGTCAAAGGTTTCCATTCGTTCCATCAGCTAATAAGTTGGTAAGTTTTTCGTAATAAATATTATAACATTACTCTTTAAAGGTTATTATTTTTAGATAAGTAGCGACACTGTTCCTAAATTACAAGGTAATGAAACTACACAAAGGTTTATTCAAAATGCCTACCATTTTTTTAAATTATTTGCCGAATGAAAATCCTGTTGAGGTAAGTTGCTCATTAAAATGTATTTATCGAATTATGTAAATGTTAAAAATGTTCTTGATAACAAAAACATTTCAGTTAACATCCAAATTAATGAAAGTCTCAGAAAAAAAGTGTGCGAAAATATAAAGATGGACATAATACAACCTTAACATAGAAGCACAATCGCAAAATGAAAATTGACGACGTCGTAAATCATAGTATCAAAAATCAAATTCGCTTAGAAATTTATCGGATGTATAAAGAAAGTAAGCTTTTATTGTATATAAAAAATATATTTTATAAAAAAGTTAGGCTAATTTAGTTTATATCATTAAGTTGCGCCAAATGTAGGCAACCAACTTAAAGTTTTTAAAATATTTATTAGTTATTAATCCTCTTCTAAATCCTCTTAGCATACGGAAGTGTCCCATTTAACCTCACTTTGACTTCTTAATTTTGTAGAATTTATTTCCACTATTTTTATTTTGTACAATAAATAATTTTATTAGTTGTTATCAATACATTATACGGTGTAAATAAATAAATATTGATTGTCGGTAATTCGCAAAGTTCTATTTTATTTACTTTTGTTTACAATAGTACTGACTAAGAGCACGTATGCTTGGTTGTATAGTAATTTCCAGCCACTTCGAGTCTGTCAAAAAGTAACTAACTTCGCAAAAAAATAATAACTAAATTACCGGGTATACAGCTGGTTACTAATAATACTTATACGACTCTTACGGTGTAGAATTATTTAAGTTAAGTATTTTGTAGAAAATTAAGCAGTGTATGATACTGTCACTGTCACTGTTAAATCTTAAAATTTGTCAAATAACTTATTCTGTTCAACCTCAACAAATGGCTCCACATGCTAGCAAATAACTAAGACCAAGAATTGTAACGAAATTAGAAGTTAGTTGGAAGTATTAGCAGTTAGCCGTAGCGAACCATTTTAACGTAAGCACAACAATAACGATTTTTAAGATTAATAAAAGATCGAGAGAGCAAAAAACTTTCGAAAGAATAATTGTCTACGAATATTGTGGGTCATAGTTTTCTAAAAAACAGGGTGGAAGTAAATACTTTTCCTGCTTCAGTGTTTTTTCAAGGGAGGAAAATTTTACGATTCCTTCCAAAATACACAAACCTACGCATTTTTTGATTTCCATTAGAAACTTCTTTCCATACAATTCTCTTTCATTGAAGTGTTGATGTAGATATAGATGTAGTTGTTGTGTAGATGTGGATAAACTTCTTTCCATACAATTCTCTTTCGTTGAAGTGTTGACGTAGATATAGATGTAGTTGTTGTGTAGATGTGGATAAAGTGGGTCGTCTATTAGTTTCACATACAATTATGTTGATTATATCGTTGTCAAAAAGCACATTAAAATAATCTATGGGTTTTGCATTGACCGGAAGATTTACATTGATAGAAGGTATATCGACCCCAACCATAATGTTTATCTGAAATATATTTTGTAGATCTTCTCTGTGTCATACTGGGATTGGCCAATGTTCAAATCAAACTGTTATTCATTCCCAGATTCACTTTAATCGGACTCTGTATCTTCAGAACTATTTACACTCGTTTCTCTAAGATAAGTTTTATCAACTATAGAATCATCTTCAGAAAAATCGTCATCGAACTCGGT